CTTTCTCTAATCCAAAGAGGATTCAAAGCGGCTTACATATAGGCAATTATTCAATGCCTTAAGACACATACAATTCCAATAATATTAAAATTAAATTAAAATGAATACATATTAAGCATTTGAAATGCTTTATATCTCTGGAAATAATCATAAAAGGAGGAGGAAATAGCCCCAACATTGTGGAACCTTCACATATGCAAGAGCTTTCCAAACTTTTTCTCAGAAGTACAGTGTTCAGATGGCAAGTAGTGATTCCACTCTGTTTTGCTCTCAGACCTCACTTCGAATAAATACACTCAAGGCACTGTAGTTTAAGGAAGATATCAGCAAACTCAGACATGCCGTGACAGAGAGAAATGAGCCAACCACTGCTTTTATATAGGGTTAACAGGATAATTAAGCACAGAGTTGTGGTTCACCTCTATGTTCTTAAGCCACAACTTTCATCATTTTTGATTGGGACTGAAGGTAATTGGGGCTGGTCAGCAACATTAAGGGAACTATAGCTTTTTTATTCTTAAGTAATAGGATGAGGATCTTATGTAAATATTCAGTATTTTTTTCATCTTTTCTACATGCAGTTCATTTTAATTTGCAGAAACAGTGGTTTGTCAAGAAAACTTGACTAGGTGTCTTTTGGACACCTGAACTGAGCTATGATTCAGTCTGAAGCATTGAAGTCCATCTTTTCCTCTAAATGTATTTAAAGCAGCAGCAAGTGATGCCTTTGTGTTGAACAGTTTTTCTATTTTTAGATCATTGTGGTGTAAACAAAGGTCTTTGAAATTGGCGGTATCTAAGTCTAATCTGTAAGGAGGGAGTGCATTATTTGTTAAATACAGAGCTAAGATTTTGCAGCTAAAACACAACCAGTGTGAAAAATTGCAACACCTCAAGGGCATTTATGGGTATATAATAAAGGCAAAAGCAGTATTTGCTTTTGTTTTAGATGCTGGTGATGTGTATGTTTTTATAGTGTGGCATTCCAAAATACCAGGACTAACTTGTCTGACCAAAGATGAATGCTTCTATGATAAACCATTGCAGTGAGTTTCCGAAGTGCCCAGAATGAAGAGCTGTAATGGTTGGGGAGCAAAAATGTCTCTCTTTTCTTTCATCACTCTCTTTATTTCTCTTTTTAGGTTGAGAATCAAGGGTAAGCTTTATTATAGCTGCATCGTATGTGAAAGATAAATAGTTCCTTGCCCTTGACTCTTTTTGCCATCATGCAGTAACTTTGTCTCTAGACATCAGTATTAAGGAAAGGCTTTGCAATAGAGCATCATACATTTGAGCGGATGTGAGCTCGGTGATCCTCAATTTACAACTCAGCTCCATTATTTTAAGACTACTAGTCCATCATTTGGAAAAGGATCTGATTTCCAAGTAGAGTTGATGGGATTATCATGGAAAAACGGGCACACTTTGCCCCTTTTTGAGTCAGAAATTTGAAACCTCCTACAAGGTAATGTTTTAAAGCACTGAAATGTAAAATGAAACTAGCCAAAGTCACCAAATTACAGCAGAACCATCATAATTATAACAGTAAACATACACCCTCCCTGTAGACATCAGACAGGCGCCCTCCCTTATGACATTCCGCAAGAGACTAAAGACGTGGTTGTTTGAGAAGGCGTTTGACTAAGTGCTACAACAATTGGCAATGATGATTAGAACGGAATATGGAAAACGAGATTGGATTGTGATTCTATGATGAGACGTCGCGAACGATTTAGTGTAGTTGTATTATTGATAGTGATGTTGTTATTGTTGTTGTGATATTGCCTTTATTGTAAATTGTTTTTATATGTTGTACACCACCGTGAGTCGCCCTAGGGCTGAGAACGGCGGTCTACAAGTGCAGTAAATAAATAAATAAATAAATAAATAAATAAATAAATGAGTGGACATTTTAAAATGAGCCATTTGTCTGCCTAACAGTGGTTCCCAACCTTTGGTCCTCCAGGTGTTTTGGACTTCAGCTCCCACAATTCCTAACAGCTGGTAAATTGTCTGGGATTTCTGGGAATTGAAGTACAAAACACCTGGAGAGGACCAAAGGTTGGAAACCACTGGCCTAGAGAATCCAGCCCTGAAGGCCTGCTTAAAAATAATCAGATACATGTGTATCCACTGAAGAGCATTTCATATGGGTAGGGGGCACCAAAGAAAAGGTGCTATTTTGTGAACCCTATAAACGGATCAAGGTAGTAACCATAGCTTGGAAAAGTATCTTCTTAATAAAGTTTCTTCCCAATAAAGGATTGTGGGAGCTTGTTCCCCACCCCCCAACAACGCCTCTTTTTTCCCACAGTCTTTAGGAGAAGAAGGAAACCATGCAACCTCAAGTTACATTTTGGGTAGAGACATATTGGGGTTGCATGGTTTCCCTCTTCTCCTAAAGACTGTGGGAAAAAGGGGAGTTGTAGAATTGTACATTCTGTTTGGAACCTTTGGCCAATAGAAGTGAAAACACCTAGATTTACCACTCATATTGCCATTTTTCTGAAATCAGATTATAGTAGTCATGATTTCATATACTGCATTCTCAGTTACATTTTGTTTTTGTTTGTTTTTTTGTTTTTTTAATGCAATACTATTTTGGTTTGCTCCTGACATGATAAATAAATAGTTACATTTTAAGTGGATTCCAAATATTGTATGGCTGCGTACTTGAATAAATAGTTCTCCCTGGGCATTTTCTAAATCTTCCAGCGATGGTGTACTTATGCCAGACTTAATCGTAGAATCAAGAGATGCAATTCTCTGTAGGCATTTTTAGGCCCACCAGAAGTCATTTATTTCACATTACCATGGTAAGTTCAGAACTATATTGATATAGATATGGAGGCCATCCTGCCTGATGAAAACACAAACTCTGATTTCATTGTAAATGTGACATATGCAAGTTGTACATACTGAAAAGGGGAGAAACTGAACTTTGTGGTACTGCATAAGAAAGGAAACACCTCTTTACATTACTTACGCTATCCCTCGTATCCCAAGATGATGGCCCTCCAAGTGTAGTGTCTTGTCAGTGGATACATAGGTGACTGTGGAGTCCTATTCTTGATTCACATGTTCTTCTGCAGTGAAGACATTGGTTTCTAGGTGGAAGGTAGTCCTATCAAGGTTGGCTTGACATGCCTTCCTCTTGGCACCTTCCTGTCCACCACCATTCTGTTTTCCGTTCTTGAGTTCGGAGTAGAGTAACTGCTTTGGGAGACGGTGATCAAGGATTCAGACAACATGGCCAGTTCAGTGGAGTTGATGGCATAGGAGCATAGGAGCATCACTTCAGTGCTGATGGTCTTTGCTTCTTCCAGCCTGCTGACATTCATCCACCTGTTTTCCCAAGAAATTTCAGGATTTTTCAGAGGCAACGCTGATGGCATCATTCAAGGAGTTGAGTGTGATGTTTGTAGACAGTCCAGGGTTAGGAGGACAGTAGCTTTATAAACAAGCTCCTTGGTACCCCTATGGAGGTCCTGATCCTCAAACACTCTCTGCTTCGTTCAGGAAAATGCTGCACTCGCAGAGCTCAGCTGGTGTTGTATTTCAGTGTCAGTGTTGACTTTTGTGGAGAAACGGGGAGAAACTGAACAACTTTGCTGTACTGCATGAAGAAGAAAACACCTCCAAGCATGATATAAATAGCAAGCCGGAACCACAAAGTCTTTCCACGCCTGTTCCCAGCACTCTTGACGAGCATCTCTCCACATAATCCTAATAAAATTATAACTCTGAAAACAATGTCAAATGTTTAGATCAGTAGAACTTCAAAGATGTCCTCTTAACTCATCTACAGGATGGAAATATATAATGAAATCATAGGGAATGGTTGTCTTCAGCAGCCCATGGCACTCACACCTGCAACTAAAATCTCAAAAGGAGGCTGCTTGCTGCAGGGAAAAGTTGGGTCTTGCTGATGGGCTATATTTAGCTCCAGTGGAAGTTGTATTTGTGGCTTTGTATGAAAAATGCAGCCAAGGCCATAATTGTAAACCATTCACTGGTGTTCATACACACGAAGCATGTGCATTTGGGGACTCATAAAAAAATCTGAAAATTTGGGGGCTGGGAGTGTATATCCTTAGATATGCTATCCATGGTTGAATATGTGATCAAGAACACAGAAAGACTTCTAAAATGTTCTTCTTGCTTTGCAGTCAGAAGAAGAAGAAATGTGTAGCTCTTGACAGTTCAGAATATGAATTCAGCAAGAGTAGCTTGTCATAGTCCTCTTCTGCCAAAAATAGTGGAATATTTATAGCAATAGAATAATTCTGAGAACTTGGGGATTTTTGTGTGTAGAGTAGTGCAAGAAGGGCTTAAATCTAAAATAACTCAAATGGACTTCATTCTGATTTATTGAAAAACTGGGGGGGGGTCCTTTCATATAAAGTGAATGTATGTATATATGTGGCTCTCTGGCATCACGTAGGGCACTTATTTTTTAAAGCTGTTTTATTACAATTTTTAGAAATAGATTGAGGGAAAATACATAGAAACAAAATCCAAAAAAAACAACAATTAAAATTAAACTCAATTGAAAGATCTGTATGTCAGTTGAGAATCAATAGGTCCAAATGTAATATTCATATGTCCCTTTCCTGTCATGAAGAGTTAACATGGGTTTGTTCAAACACTCAAATGTTGTTCTGGAGGTTCATATAATGTGCTTTCAAATTTTGTGTATATAATAAATGGATCCCAAATTGAAGCAAATTTATCTCCACCTCCTTGTCTCTTTGATGCTCTTATTTGATAGGTAAGTTTTCCCACAAGGTTGAAACCTTTCAATCCAAGAAGAGAGATGGGCTCTTCATCTCTTCATTTGCAAAGGGGAAGGCGGGGGCGGGGGGTTGAATTCACTTGGATATAAATTGATTTCAGTTCTTTTGACGGCAGCATGCTTGCAAATGGTCAAGTGTTGCAAGGTTATACTTCTCTAAAGACTTGCTGAATTTTCTTTAAATGTTTGATGCTTTCTTCTGCAGAAGAAAATGCTGAAGTTACACTTGAGGTGTCTTTGGCATACCGTGATGTCATGGGTGGCCCTTGGGAAGAAATGTCTCATGCAACAGAGACCCGGAAGCTGAAATGTACTTTTGGAGCTCCAAAAGTAGGTTCCTTGTTTATATTTAATATTGTCAGGATATTTTAAAGATCTTCGCTCTAATAAGGAACTGGTGTTTTGTACATTTTTGCTTTTGAACATAGTTGAAGTACAAATGTGGGTTGGATGTTTGGAGCAAAGCTGTTTGGGTGTCACTGTATGAGAGCCAGAGAAATTCCAGGAGATGTCAGGTTTTTTCTTGACATCAAGATATGTTTGTCAACTCATAAAAGGAGGCATATTCTCTGGGCTCCTTCGGATAGAAGGTTGTGATTGGATTTTTCAGTAAGAGCTCTCCAACTTCGGTCAACAGTAACTGAAAGAGGTTTACAGAAATATGTATTAGGGAGACTTCTCTCTCAAAGCATTCTCTTAGATCAGTGGTTCATAATCTGTGCGTCCCCAGATGTTTTGGCCTTCAGCTCCCAGAAATCCTAACAGCTGGTTCATAGTTTATCTTCTCTTATGAGAATTGCAAGGACATGTTTCCCCTAATTATTGTACCATATTGACAAAAAAAGTAAAGATGTCCCTGTATATGAAATCTAGACTATAGAAGAGTAAGCATTAATTCCATATGTTAAATATTATTTCTCTTTTATGTTCTTTGTATCTCATTGCTGAACTAATTGTTTTTGGTTTTCATTTACTTTAACTTAAGTAGTTAATGAAGAGTAAAGGGGAAAAAATCTGCTGTTTTGGTATTTTAAAAGAACTTGCAAATTGATGTCAGCTATTATGACACCCTGTTCTCTGATTTTCAATAGACACATGAGCATGAAGGGAAGTTTTATGACTGCGATGTACTGCCATTCATGGAGATTGGAACTGTTGCTCATAAGTATTATCTTGTCAACATTCGTCTTCCAGTGAATGAGAAGAAAGGCATCAATGTGGGAATTGGTGAAATAAAAGATATCCGCCTAGTGGTAAATATGCATTCAATTTGTCTCTGTTCTCCTTATAACATGAAAATAGGTTACAGTGTGACTCCAGTATGCATTCACAAACTTCATCTGAGTATGTGAAACTGCAAAGTAATAGTGAACCTTATTGAAATGAAGGTTTTCTAGTCCATGAATAACATAGAATCATACTGTAGGACTTTGAAAATGCCTAGAGTAGATTTACATTGTTGGATGTGGATAAATGAAAACATGGGTTCTGGTACCATGGGTGCAGGGATTATACAGTATTTTCTAACACAGTTAAATTCAAGTGTCCAAATTTTATTTCACATGAAATATATGTTGGGAAAGGTGATTTAACTTCCATTAATTAAGTGTATAATATTGTATATTAGTCTAGTCTGAGAGCTTGGGATGGACTCCATCAGAAAATAGATACAAAGTCAAGAATGTTGAATTTGTATTTCTAAGTTGGCAGAAATTCTGTTCATGAAAAAAAGAACTGAAATCACTTTTCCATGCTTTATATTTTATTAACTAAGCTCTCTAGAACTGATTCTGGGACACAAAGGAGTTTGTGCTGGGGAGGAAGGTTACGCCTCCCTGTGCTGCAGAAGTCCAATCAATACTAGATACTGCCCAAGTTTTTCAAATAAAGGATATGTAGTAATCCTTGTATTACATGCTTGGAGTGCCCTTAAACAGATCCATCTACATTCCCTGTGAATCTTCTCATTGGTCATCTCTGCCATGTATCTTTCTATATTGTTTTCAAAGTCTGGACATTCTGGGAATTGTAGCTCAAAGTACAATTTTTCCAAACTTCAGGGTTTTCTTATTTCACCCTAAATTGCAATAGGGAGGGATCATAGAATCATTGAGTTGGAAAAGACTCCATGGGCCATCCAAGTCCAACCCCCTGCCAAGAAGTAGGTAAATTGCATTCAAAGCACCCCCGATGGATTGCCATCCAGCCTCTGTTTTAAAGCCTCCAAAAAAGGAGCCTCCACCACACTCCAGGGCAGAGAGTTCCACTGCTGAACAGCTCTCACAGTGAGGAAGTTCTTCCTAATGTTGAGGTTGAATCCCCTTTCCTGTAGTTTGAAGCCATTGTTTCATGTCCAATACTTTTGTCATTTGGATTCATACAATAGTCTTAAGAAATCCTCTTACTAACTTCATCCAATATTGAAATTATTTTTTTTCTTTTAGTTAAGATACTGGTTTTGAACTAAGAATATTTTAGAAAAGTTATCTGGTACCCATTTTTCTCCTCTCCCCAACACAGGTGTTGTTTAAACCTTGTAGGGTTGTTACAAGGTAGTGTGAATAATAGGACAATTATTTGCTGTAACTTGCAGGGTATCCACCAAAATGGAGGGTTTACAAAGGTGTGGTTTGCAATGAAGACCTTCCTTACACCTAGTATCCTCATCATCATGATTTGGTACTGGAGACGGATCACCCTGATGACACGGCCACCTGTACTCCTGGAAAAGTGAGCAAAAATAATCCAAGATGTCTTGTAGACTTCAAAATTTATAGGTTCAGTATGTATTTGAAAAGAGGGAGAAGAAATGGTTGCACTTGACTGGTATTAAGATGATAAGAAGTTTCAGTGAGCTTCACTGTGGTTCTTTTAAAACCTTTGTTGTAAAAACAAACAAAAAATCTAGCCTCCTGTAAAATATCTACATGATAAGTATCCTAAAGCTATTAGTAGTCTCTTTGCAAAACTCACAGGCAGTCCCCGACTTATGAACCAGATAAGTTCTGTTGGTTTGTTCTTAAGTTGAATTTGTATATAAGTTGGAACAGGTACATTTTGAAGTGTAACACCATTTCATTTTGGATAGCATAGAAAAAGGTTAACACCCCTGTAACATTTGTTTTGCTGTCTGTGCCCCTGTTCAAAAGATTTTACCTCACTTTCTGTCTCTGTGACAATTGGATTTTGAAGATTTTGCGTTGTTGTGGAAACAAGGATTGGTGCTAAAGCTTCAGTGGATGCACTTTTTCCCTATGATAACTCTTCCAAGAGTGAACTTCCCTTCCTAGGGGTAGATTTCCTCTCACCTCCTGTTGTCTCACCCCTGTTTGTAACTATGAATTGTTTATAAGTCAGATGTTTGTAACTGGGGGAAATTGTGACCTCCAAATGGTATTGGAATCTGTCTTCCAGCCAATATGATGATGATGATGAAGGATGTTGTCTCATAACATTTGGTTGTAGGCCCACTTCTCTGAGGTGTCAAGTGCTAAGGGTTGGGGACTGTAGAGTCAAACCGCCCCCCTTATTTTTACCCCTCACTGCTCCCCCCGCCCGGGCCAATTTTGGGAATAACTTTATTTTATGACAGATTCCTTTTAATAGCTTTTCTCACTTGTTTCAAACCCAAACAATCTTTATTTCAAATTGATTCTCACATTGGCTGCTCTCTGAATGCTAATGGCTAGTCCATCTCTCAGGAGAATCTCTATGATCCACTGCCTTCTTGTGCTAATGGGCAGAGCATTTTATGCTATCTTTTGGAATCTAGCCTTGTCTGGGAGATCCCCTAGTGAGAGATGATAAAAAAAACAACCCTTAGTGCAGTGAAATGGCAGTGACGCTCACTTCCATCATCATGAAGTGCCTTGAAAAATTGGTCTGCAGGCATATCATTTCTTGCCTTCCACATGCATTGGATAAACAAGAGTTTGCATATAGAGCCAACAGATCAACAGAGGATGCCATAGTCATCATGCGCCACATTGCTCTGATGGGGGAACTATGTGAGGATGCTTTTTGCAGACTGTAGTTCCGCGTTTAACACAGTCCTCCCACATAGACTGGTGTCCTAACTTATGGATCTTGGATTGTCATAGTCAGTCTATTCCTGGATTATGGACTTCTTGTCTGGATGTTCCCAGAGGGTTAGATTAGGTAATCCTACCTCTTGAGCTTTCACACTGGGACACCATAGGACTGTATGGTGTGTCCTCTGCTTTATACTTTATACACAAATGAACAATATCATTACCAAATTCGCAGATGATACAACCATGGTGAGGCTTATCTCTGAAACAGATGAATATGCCTATTGGGATGAGGTGGATCAGCTGCTCTTGTGATACAAGGACAATAATCTGGTTCTTAACATGAATAAGACCAGGGAACTCATAGTGGACTCCAGAAAGAACAGGCCAGAAATTCAGCCCTTGGCCATAAATGGAGATGAAGTGGAGCAGGTGGCCACTTTTAAGTTCCTGGGGGTCACTGTTAAGGAGGATCTCACCTAGGGCATTCATACAGCAGTGCTGGTTAAGAGGGCCCACCAGAGACTGTACTACCTGAGATTTCTAAGGAACCAACAACTGAATGAAAAATTGCTGGTGACTTTCTATCACTGCTATAGAGAGAGTTCTAACCTACTGCATCTGCATATGGTTTGCTAATTGTACAGTGGCAGATAGGAAGATGCTACAAAGGGAATCACTGGTTGCCCTCTCCCCTCTTTGGAAGAACTTTATAAGTCCTGCAGTCTTAAAAAAGCTTAGAGCATTCTTAAGGATCCATCTCACCCAGCATATTCTTTTTTTGAATTTATTACAATTTGACAGATGGTACAGGACGACAAAGATAAGGACAAACATTGAGAGATAGCTTTTATCCTAGAGCTTTAACTATATTGAACTCTATTACTTCACATTGATGTG